AAGACCTCAGTGCACTAAGCTCATAAGCCATTGAAGAAGTTGTTTAAAATGTAATTGGCCAGTTCATTTTTGAGTGTGCCACATGGATACAACTGAGGGCACTTAGTATCTGTCTGTGGAAACAGCACACTAAGGCTGTGCAGATTCCTTGGTGCCATACCCACCCAAATGAATCTGTGGATGTATGTGTTTGTGTTGGGGGCCAGGGAAGAATGGGAATCTATACTTGTAACAAGAATACAAGCAATTTCTAAGCACACTAAAGTTTGAGGACTACTGCACTAAGTGAAAATTTCTGAGGCAGGCACCTCACTTATATATCCCAAAGTTAGCACATTACGCACAGTTAGTTTATGAAATGACACAACTTATGTTAATACAGAAACTTCCAGGTCACAAAGAACTCAGGCAACTTGCAATTCATATTAAAAGGGAGAGTGGCTTTGGTGTTTCTCCTGGATGGGAAGAAAGTATCAAAAGCACTATAGCTTTCTAGGACTGAGACAACTTGCTCACTCCTGTATTTCCAGCACCTAGCTCAGTGCCAAAGAAGTTTAGCAAATATATGCAAAATGAAACAGGGGGATATGTCCTGATATGAGCCAAGGCGGTGCATTAAACAAGTTCGATGCATCAAGCTCATTACTCACTACTGCTGTTGTTTTGGGGGAATCATTCTAATACTGAGAATACACTATATAACTTTTAGAGCGCTTGGTCAAGGAAAAGTAGGTGGTTAACTTCACTGATTACAGACAATCATCAGGCTTGGATGAGATGTAAATAGAAGAACCATCCAGTATATTCTGCTACTACATCTATCGCTTGAGATGCTCCTCAGATGTAAACATTTTATGTTTATTACTGGCAGCTGTTTCTGAATAGAAACAATTTGGCTAATATAAGCCCCAGCCTTGCCTGCTTAACTTCATATGTTTACCACATGCAATGGTGATGATAATTGCTACTCTGTGAAACAACAGTTGAGTGTGCTTGACACAGTGTATTCTCATTCTCATGATTCATAGCAGTTATATTGTATAAAGTCACCATGAACAATGAATTAGTGAATACTGAACCATCCCACCTTGGGGAAATAGAGGGTTAGGTTCCTGAGAGCCTTTGGTTACAAAATTTTGGCAGACCAATGTACATAACTTTGTTTTACATGTGTTTCTGTTTAAGGATACCTAAATTTAGCATATATTGTTGGTTCATTAACATTGAACCTGTGGCCAAAAGCACTCATGCCTGGACAAAGCTTATCTAACAAGTATTTTCTCCATAAGGCACATTACAGCCTTCCTGTGCTCAGGAACACTAGACAACACTATATTTGGGGACCACTTGAAACAGTAAAATCACTAGCTAAAAGTGCAATGATGCGAAAAACATAGCATTAAATAGAAAAGGACACCTGTTTACAGCACGAGAGCTGAACCAAGAAGGCAGAATGTTACCCTGTTCCACCTCAGTTAGAACTAAGTATGCTCACATTTTTTGCCATTTTGTGCATGTCCCCAGGGACCACTAAAACACCTTGATGAGTATTGATTGGGCAGGATACAAAGAAATTTTAGCAAATGGGCGGATAATGAGGATGGACTGCACTTTCCATTTCCCATCTAGAGTCCCTGTCAGCCCTCTCAGCCCCATCCTACCTCGCTCTGTTCTTTGGGAGGCGGATGCTCAGGACTGCTGGCCTGCTTCCTGTCCTCTAGCTCCTGGCTGAGTTGGCAGATGGAAGGCCCAGGGGGAGTCTGGGAGTCAGGAGGAGAGTGAGGATGGGGTGGCTACTTGATGGCTCTCTCCCTACAAGGGTGCCAGGATTGTGCCCTCCCCTAAATAAAGCCCACAGGTCCTATCGGGCTATGCCTCTGTGTAGTTTCTCTCTCTCCCCAACCTGAGTCCACAGGTTGAAGGTGGTAACCAGCTGCTGTTAACCTCAAGGGAATTGCACTATTCCATGTTGGTTTCCCCAAACCCTGTCCAAACTTTTAAAAATAGTCCCTTTTAGGAGTTTTGTCAATTTCCCAAGCAATCCACCCATTTCCTTCTAGAACCCTCACTGTGTGGCATAATGAGGGAGGGATTTTAAACTACATAGGCTGTGGAATTTATATACCATAGTGGACTCAAGACTTCTGTCTGCACAGGATCCAACTTGTGAAACAAAATTGCAAACAGAAATGAGATGTTCCTTTTTTTTAAAATCCTCACTCTAGGGTGTTTTCAAACTGATTTTGGAGAGAGAGGAAGGGAGAGAGAGAGAGACAGAGAGAAACAACCCATTGCATCCCACATGTACCCTGACCACAAATTGAACCCACTACCTAGGTATGTGCCCTGACTGGGAATTGAACCTACAACCTTTTGGTGTATGGGACAATGCTCCAACCAACTGAGCCACCTGGCCAGGGAGGGATGTTCCCTTTTATCTAACTGAAAGTTAGCTGGAGGGAGTCTGCCCTTCAGACCAGTGTCAGGAAAGATAAACTGCAACCAATACAAAATCATTGAGGCCTGCTTAGAGGAGAAATGTGTATTTTTAGGTACCTTCTCTAAAATCACTGAAGGGAATATTAAAGGCATTTAAATATATCTAATAATGCAGATTAAATGGCTTTATTAAGCTTTGTGTTATACATGTATTCCTGTCTTGAGCAGATATTTTTAACTTTCTCTTTTTCTTAAAATGTCCTGATAGCTAAAGCAGAAACGTATGTGGCAATTTGTTTTCCTGGCTTTTAGAACACGTGTTATTCTTTTCATTCCTGGCTGATTTCAATCTTGATGTGCACAGCTTGCTCAGGACTTTAAAATCCTGCTGTGTAACATCCTAATCATTATAGATTGTCATGTACTATGGACTTTGTTAAAGATTTTCCAACTTTATGCTTCAAGGTCAGAGTGGAAAATCCATATTCTGAAAATAACTGATAAAGTTATCTCTCTCACATGGTTAGCTATTGCTCAGAGTGGGTGCTATTCACAAATTTTCCCAATAAAATCTGTTCTTGATTTCACAGGCTAAATCTCCAGGCTGTAGTGATTATTCCTGGCTATTATTAATCAGATAAGCAAACTTGAGCTTCATTTTATGATCCCTGTGGGACATGTTCCTGAGCACTGTTTACTTTCAAATCTTTAATTGTTCTGCACATCACTGTGTTTTCCTTATTTAATTCTAAACAAAGTGCTGCACTCCAAAGGTCTGACTTGGCATAGGGGACAAAGATGGTTTCTGCAAGGAGAAAATCCACTCAAGCCTCTTCTCAAGGAAAAAACCCAGTTACAATTTGCCTTGAAGTGAAGGGTTCAAAGCCAAGAGCACGTGTGCTCTGTTACATTACCTCAGTGACATGTTTCACATTTCATAGTAAAAAATAAAAAATAAAAAATTACCATCTGTCCAGGCATTTCAAGGGGAGGAGATTGCTAAATTGTTAATACCATGTAATAACCAACTTGCGCTTTTTTTAGGATACAAGGACAACCTTATTTATTTTGGTTAAAATTATTTTAATATTTAAATATAAAAAACACTCCATATATTATCCTCTTTTCTCATGTTTTTAATTTAGAGCATCATCTGAGACCAGACATTTTATGGAAGGGATACTTATACTTTTGGGGTTTAAGACCCTTTTATATGTCATAAAATTATTGATAATTCCTTAAAAATTACTAAGACCCTTTATGTATGTGGTTGCTATCACTCAATATTATAATATTAGGAATGAAAACTGAAAAAAGGTAAAAATGTTTATTTATTAATTAAAATAACAATAGTAAACCTAATGCATGTTAACAAAGATAACATTTAAAAAAATTCATTCCCCAAAAAATTTAGGGAAAAGAATGGCATTGCTTTTACATTTTTGCAACCCTTTTAAACGTCCGACTTTATCATAGGAGAAGCCTGGATTCTCATAGTTGCTTTCTCCATTCAATCTGTTGTTTTGAATGACATGTATATACGAAAAAAATCCAGCGTCATACAGACACTCACTTGGAAAAGCAAGGGCCTCAAAGACTTCCTGAGCCCAGGGCAAGATGTCTGTGCACAGGTCCTACCTATTGGCTAGAGCATGATCAAAAGTCCTAATATTAATTGTAGGGCTCCACAACATAAAAATAAGTATAACAGAGACAGAAGACATTTACTCCTTCCTCTGTTCTTTCTTTCAACATGAAGAAAGAGAAATTTTATTTTTTCTTAAAAGATAGATAGGATTAAAAAACTTTCCCTTGACTGTTCCATTCTGCCCTGAGTTGAGAGGAGGCAGGTAGACATGAAAAACCCTACTTGCACATATTCTAGAAGAAGAAATTCAGGGAACATAAACAGATAACTGGTATTTATTCAAATTTCTAGCTTCCTTTCAAAACTTGTTACATTTATCTCGTTACAGATAAGTGACTGCATGGTGATCTGTTTTGGTGAGACAGAGAAATTGCTTCAACGATCTAATGTTGAACTTTTTGGTCTCTATTGGAGGTGGGACAGGGTGATCTTATGGGCTACAGAGCACAAGTGGAGTCAGGAACCAGAGCCTGATGGGCTGTCCTGCTCCTAACCCAGTCTGTCCTCTCATGTGTTTGACTGTTTGGAGACATCTAGTGTCAGACACTGATTTAAAAGTCAGATGAAAACAGCAACAAAACCCATGAATTGGAGAAATGAATGGCTGGAAAGAATGAGAAACTTTATGACCAAAATACTAGGCCTTTCACCACAAGAGTTTGACCCCTCAGCTTCACTTCACTACAAAGTGGCTCCTCAAACTCTCTTTCCAGAAGACGGGAGGGACTCCTAGAAAGGGAGAATGGCAGAATCTTTGGCTGCTGTTTCAGTTGTCTGGAGCATTATTTTAATTAGACAAAGTTGGCAAATAGAAGGTGCAGAGAGAAAAGCTTTGTTTGATACAATGGCAGGGCAAACAGAAGATTCTGAGATACTCAAGTAACTGAAAACCCACAGGGGCTGGAGTACTTACCTCATTGAAATGGACATCTTGCATCCCAACATCTTCCATCATGGCAGCCTCCTCATCTATGTTTGGGGTAATCATCCTGAAGGCTGTGCATCCTTGCCTAAACATGCCTAGAATCAAGAGAACAAAGGAGAGAGTTAATAACCTGGAAGTAGATGAAACTTGAGGGTTCTTCCTGTCCTGTATGTTTTTGTACTGCATGAAATAACTGATTTTGAAATCCCCTATTTCTCAGGCCAGCATTTCTATGGGAGCCTGGGGACTGCTATGTGCTTTTCTTCACTCACTTCCTCATATTTAACCTTTGCTTCCCTCAATTTGTTTTTCTTACCCCTCTTTATTTTTCACCCACCTTTATTAAAATGTATACAATCTTTAAACTGTAAATGAAGTGAAATAGGCACTGAATCAAATTAATTATAAAATAACCAATAAATAATAATTTGATTTGGTTAGATGACATGTACTCAGACACAAAGAAAAATAAAGAAGCCAAAACCAATCAAGGCAAAATATAGGACTCAAAAATAACTCTGTTTACTTCAAGGTGTTATCTCACCCACTCTGGCTGGGTGTAATCCAGAACTCATATTAGAACTTGCCCTTCTCCTTCATGAAGCAGTCTACAAAACCAAGATGTACTCAACAGCCACAACAATGAACCGAGAGGCTGCCTAAGGTAAGGAGAGGCTTCTGTTCTCCCTACAGCTGCAGAGCCAGAGCATGCAAAGTATGAATAGTTCAGGGGCCCAGGCACTCAGTTCTCTCAGGGTGGGGGTGGAGGGGAACGGTGTAAAGTTGGAGCTGAGATAAATACCTGGGATAAGATAATACCAATGATGGCCTATTTAGGGTCTCTACTCATCTTGGAGACACTGGGAAAAGTTTTATGTTAGTTGGACAATGTCAGCTGGGAAAAAAAAATAATCAAATGAAGGACTTGAAATGTCTTGTTTTTTAATTTTGTGATCATTGTTTACAACAACACAAAACAGACATCAAAACTTGAATTGAGACCTTCCGTATTTTGGGAAAAAGAAACAGTGAATTTTAAAATCAAGTCTTAAAGGAGTAGGTCCTAAAGTCAGAGATTTTCCTGCTTAATATTGGTTAAGGTTTCCAAGCCATTCATGGGTTGTCAAGTGTCTCTGCAACTGTCCTAGTTTAGCCTTGCTTTTGTTTTATGCTGACAAATAAAAAGCATTAATTTAGGGGCTGACATTAATGTACAAAAAGCAAAATTATAAAATCCAACCACTATTTTTAGGCTACAAAAATGTACTACTTTAGTACATTTTTTATGTACTAAATTTAAATTTATATTTAAATTTTAGTACATTTAAATATACAACTTAACTCCAGTGGAATAACTATCAGGGTGGCCTAAGTGCTTTCCTCTCCTTGCCCATTGAACAAGAGGTGCAAGGAAAGGAAGGGAGGAAGGCGAGCCAAGGCCATGGACATCCGCAGAGAGCTGAAAAAGAAAATCCCACACCTCTGAGTGTCATGTGGATGGGGTGGCTGGGGCCCTTGGGACCAGCTGATCCTCAGGCTCACCTCCCTGGTGCCTCCTCTGGCAGATGCTGTGGCTGTAGGGGAAGAGGGCTGGCTCCCGTCGGAGGGCTTTGTCTGCTTCTAAACATGAGGAAATGTATTACCTGATAACATAGGTCTCAGCAGGAAATTGTGCTGGTAGTAAGAGAATATAGAGCCCTTTCTGAATTTCTTCCTCTTTCAGGCTCTGATGTATGACAAGCTCAGACTTCCTTAAATTTCATTCCAAAGAGCCAGCTGTACCAGAAATACAGAAATTCCCTGGCCTGGGCACCTGTGACTTTCTACTGTGTCTTACTTTGTAAACATGCTCCTCATTAGCCAGATCTGCTGTGCTTCAGTGCACATGTGCAAATAGCCAGCTTTTCTAAGAACCTTGTGTTTCAAAAATAAACACTCTTTCAGCCTGGACTGATTTTGAAATGGAAATGAGCAACTCGTGTTTAACCAAAAGGAGCCTGTGAAGAATTCATGGCCTGCTAATCTGGGAACAAATGTGAAATGCACAAACAGGCATCATTCACTCCCTGCTCTCTCCTTCCACTGGGAAGCAAGGTTTCCAGCCAGCAAGGCTACCTTCTCACACAATAGAGCAACTAGGTTGCATTCCAAGAAATGCTTTCTGATGGTCTCCTGTTACAACTGGCTTTTGATTGATAAACAGTTTTAGTGGGAACTATCATAAGGGAAAAATGAAATCTTTTCAGCTTAAGACTGGCTGGTCAGGGATGTCCAGATGTAAAGCTCATTAGCTAATTCTTGGGAGAGGGAGCTGTGAGTAAGAGGTTATATGACAATATGCCATTCACTTTTCTTTTTGATATTGGCATTTCTGCTGCGCTACCAAGTCAAGCAATGTCATGGCAGTGAACAAAACAATGACTATAATACACATATACATATGTACACACACACATACACACACACACACACACACAATCCCCCACCTCTAAATCTTTCTCAATGGCTGTTGCTTGTGTTTGCTCCTTTGTACAGTTTTATATTCATTTCACAAAACACAGGAATCATTTCTTACCTTTACGTGTGAGATATTCTGCCACCAGGGCTGTGACATGGACATAGCACATTGCTGCCTGTAATAAAAGACACATGCTTCAGAATCACCATTTATGAAGCTTGTCAAAACATGACAGAAATCTAATGACTATATGTACTTATATTAGATCTCAAGGAACCAACTAGTGTTTCTAATACCTGACATCTTACCTTTTGAAAAAAGTAGAACAATTCACATAAACTGAAATTTTTAAATAAACTGCAGACATCTGGTCAAAATGGCGGCATAGGTAACTAGGGCTTGCTTCTTTGTACAACTCACATCAAAATTACAGTTAAACTATAGAACCACCATGATTCAAAACTGTCAGAAATTGAGCTGAATGGAAGTCTGACAACTACAGAGTTAAAGAAGAAACCACATCAAGACTAGTAGGAGGGGCAGATATGTGGCATGGGCTGGCCGTACGCCCACACGTGGTGGATAAAAATCAGGAGGGATATCCCGGAGCAACAGGTCCTAGCCCCACACTAAGCTCTCCAGCCCAGGGTTCCAGCCAGGAACATAAGTCCCCACAACTTCTGGCTATAAAAATCAGTGGGGATGGAGGCTGCCGAAGACAAACTGCTAGAGTCTCAGGTACTTCCTCTTAAAGGGCCCATGCACAGACTTACTCAGACTCACTCCCTCTGAGCTCCAGCATAGGGGCAGCAGATTGAAAGGCATCAGAGATATACAGAGAGGCGCTGAATTGTCCAGCATCAGGAAGAGAGCTAGGAGCAGCTTTCTCCCAGACAGAAGTGCTGGAAGAGGCCATTCCTTTTTGAGCCCTCCTTCCACAGAGCCAAAAAGCTGGCCGATGGGCGTCATATCTGAGACTCCATCAACCTGGCTCACACTGTTTGCCCCACCCTGGTTTCCCTGAGGCCTGCCCACACCAAACTTATGGGTGCACCCAAGATGTTTCCAGTGGTTTTCCCACACGGATGGCTTGTCTCCACATTTTCCTAAATTCTCTCAACCAAGCAGCATCTGGTTTCAGCGAGCCCTGTACCTCTCACTAGATACCCTGAGGCCTGGCACTAGCAGCGCTGGCCTTGGTTTGTAGCATGGCCTTGTCTAGGCACCTTCAAGCCCAGCACAAGTAGCAGCCATTTGCAGATCACTTTGTAGCTTATGCTGTGTGACCAAAGACAGAACATAATCAGTGGCTGGCCTTGGAATTACTAAGAGCAATCAAAACTCAACTACAACACAGCCCTTATAGTGGGTGCACCTTAAGTAGTCAGCTTGAGTAATAGGGGAGCCTGTGCCACTGGACTCTACAGGACACCTACCACATGGGCCACATGGGAGATGCAGCAGCTCTACCTAATACACAGAAACAAATACAGGGAGGCTGCCAAAATGAGCCGACAAACAAACATCGCCCAAATGAAAGAACAGAATAAAACTCAAGGAAAAAACCTAAACAAAATGGAGACAGGAAAACTACTAGATGCAGAGTTATAAGGATGCTCATGTAACTTTTGAGGACCTCACCAGTATAAAAAAAATCCAGTCAGAAATGAAGGACATGCTTATTGAAATAAGAACAATTAACAGGGAATCAACAGTAGAGTGGATGAAGCCAAGAATCAAATCAGTGATTTGGAATATAAGGAAGCAAAAAACAACCATGCAGAACAACAAGGAGAAAAAAGAATAAAAGAAAATGAGGATAGTGTAAGGAGCCTCAGGAACAACTACAAGCATACCAAACATTTGCACTATGGAGGTTCCAGAAGGAGAGAGAGAGTGTAAGGAATTATAAACCTATTTGAAAAAAAAAATGATGGATAACTTCCCTAACTTGGCGAAGGAAATAGACATACAAGTCCAAGAAGTGCAGAGGGTTCCAAACAAGATAAACTCCAGAAGACCAATGCCAAGACACGCCATAATTAAAATGCCAAAGGTTAAATACAAAGATAGAACCTTAAAAGCAGCAAGAGAAAAGGATTCAGCTACCTACAGAGGAGCTCCCATAAGGCTGTCAGCTGATTTCTTAAAAGAAACTTCATAGGATAGAAAGGATTGGCAAGAGATATTCAAAGTTATGAAAAGCAAGGACCTACAACCAAGATTACTCTACTCAGCAGAGTTACCATTTAGAATCGAAGGACAGATGAAGAGCTTCCCAAACAACACAAAGCTCTAAAGGAGTTTATCAACACCAAACCAGTATTATATGACATGTTAAAGGATCTTCTTTAAGAAGGAGATCAAAATATGAACAATGAAAAGGCAACAAATATATGTCTATCAATAATTGATTCTAAAAAACAAAATAAACAAGCAGAACAAAACGAGAATCTTTGATACAGAGAACATTTTGATGGTTGACAGGTGGGAGTGGGGTCATGGGAATGGGTCAAAAAAAGACGAAGGAGTTAGGAAGTACAAATTGGTAGTTACAGAACAGTGATGGGGGTGTAAAGTATAGCATAGGGAACAGAGTAGCCAAAGAACATATATGCATGACCCATGGACATGAACATGAGTGTGGGAACTGCCTGAGAGATTGGGGGGGGGTGGCGCTGGGTAGAGGAGCACAAAGGGGAAAAACTGGTGCAACTATAATAGCATAAAAAATAAAATATAATTTAAAAAAAGAAAGAAGCTGTGAATTGAGACAAATGGCAATAAATTTGCTAAGCCTCATTTCTATTTAGTTATTAAATTTTGATGTAAAAGAAAAAAAGCATTTCTTTTTACTCTTTGATTTATGCATCATAATGTGAAAAGAAAACCATTTGAAGAAAAGGCATGTACCTTCCTGGATTCTGAGAGAAAAACTCAAATTTCAGGGTCTAATATAGTTTTCTCTGGATTGAAAAATGAAGTTGTAACTTTTTCCAAACATTAAATCATAAACCAAAATTATAATTAATTCTTAAAGGATAACATTGTAAACACCTTGAAATGAAAGAAAAAAATAAAGTAGCCAAAGTCTTATAAAATTCAGATAGCTGATGGCAATGAACCTACTCTAAGTTCTAATGCCTGAGCCCCTGGTTCTTCTCAGAATGAGAGAAAAATTACATCTACTAATAATATGTAGTTCATTTTTTATTACAGCTAACATACAGTTAAAATTATGTCAAACAGAATGGGCTCCATGAATACTCAATATGTAAAAATAGTTACATAAATTTTTCAGAAGTAGGGCATAATTTAACTAATTTAAGCAATTATAGAAGTTTAAAAGTAAAAGCATGCTTCTTCTGTAACATTGTTGATCATGCCTAAATGTCTTAGGCACATTAGAACCCTGGACAGAGTTCTGTGGGAACAGAACTTGCCTCACAGCCTACTGTTTTTCTTTTTTTCCCCATTTTACAGATAAAAACTGGCTCAAGTGTCACAGAGTTAGTAAATGTTGGATCTGGGATTCAGTATGTCTCTGGAGCCCACACACCCAACCCTTCCCCACACTGCCGCCTCCTGAAATGTGGCAGCTCTGTACACAGATGCCACTCTGATATCTACCACATCCACAGATGGACATGGATGACCTCAAAAATAAAAGACTAGGCCCTATCGTTACTTTAATTACAGAAAAATTTGCCCTGGCTGGTGTGGCTCAGTAGATTATGTGCCGGGCTGCGAAGCAAGGGGTCGCTGGTTTGCTTCTCAGTCAGGGCACATGCCTGGGTTACTGGCCAGGTTGCCAGTGGGACATGCGTGAGAGGTAACCACACATTGATGTTTCTCTCCCTGTCTTTCTCCCTCCCTACCCCTCTCTCTAAACATAAATAAATATAATCTTTAACAAATAACAGAAAAACTTAATTTTATCATTAGTGGAGGAATTTTAGAACCAGAGAGGATTTTTGTTGCAGAAACTGAGTGCACCTGAATTAGCAGGTGTCTGTATGACCATGAATATTTTCTAGGAGCTTTCAAACAGTGCTCTTAGAAAACATAAATAATCTGACATAAATATCCCATTACAATTTGGTAAATTATTAAAATGCTTAGATGACTATGAAGAAACTCTGAGCCTAACACTGTTTAAAGTATCACATATATTTTTAATTGGTTTCTTTTAATTACTGGGAAATTCTTCTCAAAATTGACTTCTTCTAGTGAATGGGGTGTGGTTTTCTGAAAAACTCTGCTGGCTAGGCTGGCAGGACTACCTCAGAGAGATCTCCGTTTTTGACGTGGATCCTAGCCATGCTGTCCAGCCATGTCTTCCTGAGCTCGGGAGTGCTGGCATAGGACTTGGCCAGACTGTACTGCAGGTCCACCAGCATCTCGGGGTCATTCTCATGCTCCTTCATCTGGGCAGTGGCCATCAGAACCGTGCGTATCCTTTTGGTCAAGTCCTTCACATCCGAGGAGAAGGTGGTGTGCTAAAACAAGGATGGAAGAAGGACACAAGGCTTTCAGGTGTGTTCTGCCTGTCCACAACATAGTAGATATGAGGCAGAGTCTTGGGAGTCAAAAAGAAAATGGAACCAGGCTACCCACCTTGATGAGCCTGTCACTGTTGGCACAGTTGTTGATGATAGACAAGGACTGCTGGAATCTGGTTCCTCCAATCCCCACAACATCTGCTATCAGCTGGCTGACGGAAATAATGACCTTAAGGAAACACAAATGTGAGCAAATCAATTCACTTTCAAGTGATTCCTCAGGCTCAACTCCTGCCTTCAGTTAAGATGTACATGAAGGCAAAGGGGAAGTTTTGAGAAGGGATCACTCCAGTATCAGAAACAATGTACAAGTCAGCTTTCTTCCCTTCAAGAATTATACCACAAGGTGATTAACTATCATTTAAGTATTTCATTCACATAGGAAAATGATAATCAGAGAGTGTAGAATGAGAATCACAGTAAGCCTGTATTACTTGGATAGTTACCTATTGCTTTCTCTAATAAAAAGAGAGACCTTATTATTTACCTCTGGTTTTTGGTTTGAACTTTCAATAAGTGGACTGTCCTTTGCATTTTTTGCTAAGATGTATACATATTAACTCTGCAATGAGGGGACTCTTTCTTTTTTGGGGTCTATGAATAGCACTGCCTTTATCCAGTTACTCAAGCTAAAATGTAGGGATGCCATCATATTCCCTCTTTTTTCTTCACCATACCAAGTGCAACCAATCACAAAGTACTATCAACTCAACCTCTTCCTCCTTCAAATCTCACCATAAACGGTCCAGAACACCATCCTCTCTGGCCTAGATTTGACCATGGTTTCCCCAAGGTCTCCATAGGTAAGGTCTCAACTCTCCCAATCCATTCTCAGTGCTGGAGTCTAGGCAACCCCTCCAAATAGGCCATGATGCCTCCTCAACTTGTTCTCATCCATGTTCTCAACTCCACTATAAGGCTCTTCTCTGGTTCCCCAGATGGGTCCTTTCCTATGGGTTGCTAAGCTCTCTTCATCCTTCACGTCCTCTGGGAGGCCTTGACCCCTAGCCAGATGTCCCTCCTTGGTGCACAGAAGTTCCTCTGTTATAGCCCTGGGCACACTGCACCACAAAGAGCTGCAGGGTCTGTCTCTCCTCCAGGTGGAAATACACTCCATGGGGGCCAAGAGAGAGTTCTGTTTTGTTCATGGTTGGATCCATGAATCCTAATATGTAGTTTGCAAACAATAAATACTGTTAAAAAAAGGAATAAATAGTGAGGTAAAGAGGGCAGGCACTCCTATACATATTTGCAGAAAAAGAGAGTCTACAAAAATACACATGACCTTTCAGTATCTTGCATAGTTCTCAGAGCAGAGAGCTTGGGACATTTTAACTCTTCCACTCTTAGATGGACTTCTTGTGTCTCACCTAAGATATTTACTATGAGGCAGACTTACACAGATTCTAATATATCTTGATTCAATGGAATTTCAGTCAGTCCCATATTGAATCAATTTGTAAATGTTAATTTACCAATAGAAACATATCCTGGGCCTAAATCTTGTAAGGTGGAGGATGAAATAAACCAAACCAGCCAATGTGCCTTTTAAATTTTCAACCTCGATGCCAGATATTGTAGTACTTATGTAGAGGTAAATCGGCAAATGTGATATTCAAAGTTTTCCTGCTAATACAGACTTTCAAAGAGTACACTTGTATAGGAAAGCTAAACTACACTCACTTGCAGATGTGTCCGGACAAAAGACTTCTTTCCAGTGTAGTCAAAGTTATTCCTCATCAGGAAGTAGAGCAGCTGGGAGGCTTCAGTTCTGATGGAGCTCAGTTTGGAGTTACAGAACTTCAGAATCTCATAGCACAGTGCAGCGCACATGTCAGCTCTCCCTTCATAGAATGTCGAGGGAAACTAAATGAAACACAGGGAAGCAAATAACCAAATAAAGGTCAATGCTCCCTCAACTCCAGGTGCAAAGAGGAAACATGACAATCAATGATGACCTTCCCTGATCAAATGACTTACCTTGTAAATTAATGATCTTAAGGCAGTGAAGACATTTTTTAAAGCTGTTTCAGACTGATGTTTTTGAAGAAAACACAGGTAGACATCAAAAACTTTTTTCATGAGAGGATTATGTCCATGGTCAGTCAGGAGCTGGTTCTTAAAACATACAAGGATGGCTTGATTAGTGAGATATACCAGACACCTCTAATAGGTTTCACACAGTTTTGAGGCTCAAAGGTTAAATTTTCCAGGTACTAAATAAGACAACTTACACTTTAAACAAATTCTGCCATGAATCCTCCAGGAAAGCAACAAAATCCTCTTGTATTATAAATAAGCCTAATAATACATTTATGCTTTGAAGAGTTTACTTTTTTCTATAAAAAGAGAGACTAATTATAAAAACTCCCTGCAAACTTCCTCCCACTGTTCCCCATTATTGATTTGGCTTCTATTTATTTCCTTATTTTTACTGTATACCAGCAACTAATACAAAGGTAATGTTAGTGACATCTTAATTCCAACAAAGGAGCGACATTATAGGTGTTGGCTAATTAAAGGGCTGGAAAAAATACTGATGTGAGGTATATGAAACAGGTCTTCTAAAAGTGAGGCTCCCCTCACCCCCAGGCTTCTCAGGCACTCTGTTAAGCTATGAATAGTCAGTTTGGTAAGGTGGAAAACATAAGCTGGCTTTGCTCAGGCACCATTTCTCATATGCACGGATTTGGCAAGTAAACCAAGCCTCACCATTCTCACCTGTAAAAGAGATGACCCTAAAATTGACCTTGCACAGCTACTGTGAAGACCTGAGGTCCAGTATAAGAAACATCTAACATATACTTTGGTCTAGCTCAGTAAGTAGTAGCTGGCAGGATTTTAACATGCCATGAATTTTTACTTGATAAAAGAAAGAAAGAGGGTCACAATTAACAACTTCTCACCATTCTTCAAGGCTTCCTCACACCAGCAGAAAATTCACACTAATTAAACACTTTGTAAACCTGGTTGACTAAAATGCCTGCCAACTGCCGTTCACACAGGGTAGACAGAGATGCTGACTTGCTGCAGGCCAGCATACGGCCATTACATTTAAACATGTGTGACACTAAAGACCTGCATCTTCAAATACAGATTAGCCTGTTTGAACAAAGGTGTGTGTTTGGGAGAGGGCACTTTGTATAAGTAGGCAAAAATGACTATAATAAAAAAATGTCAAGAGGCCAGTATCTCAAACTAGTCTTACAATTTAGCCAAATGAACAAAGATAACTTACATCCAAATAATTTTGTTACATAGTAAATTATGGCTGGAGTAATAGTAATAGGAGTTGCCGCATCTTATTATTGGGAAAAAATTTCACTCAAGGAGTTAGTTTTGTTTTTTTACTGCTTTACAGGTATATTCACAGCTGGTAGGACACTTGGAATTCACAGTAACCTTTATGTCATGAAACACTGTCATACAGTATTGAATTCCATCATGTGCAAGAGAAGAAATTTAATAAGCAGAATAACTGAATATAATTCTCAACCATAAGCAGCTGTTCAGCAACCAAAAAAAGATTGGGGCGGGGTACTGTTTCCAGTGTTTTTGGAACTACCAACATGGTTTGTTGTCTGTGAGCACCGCTTACCCAGAAACCACAATCTTTCCGAATTATGGATGGATTAAGGTTTGGGCTAATCTGGATGTAAGCTTTTTTTTTTCTTAGAGCTCTTTGCTGGAGAGATCCAGAAGACATGGTTCATAAAAATCACCAAGACCCCTGGTCCTGCTATTTGAATTGGACTGTCTCGAAGTTCTTCCCCCTGGAATTGAATTTTTCTTCCTTTCACTCTCTCTGGGCAAGGTTTTGGTTCTCATTTTCAGGATTAAATCTTCTTAGGCTCTGATCTCAAAACCTGTTTGCAAGAATGGAGTTTAAAACTCACACTGAGATATAAATAAGCCCTCATTTAAAGGGATAAAGGACCTTTGATCTTGGGCACACCCCACTTTATCAACTGCCTTCCTTAATTTTCTAATCAATTTTCTCATCTCCCTGTGTCTGTGTGTGTGTGTCTCTCTCATTAATTAGAAAGTCATAGACACTAAATGTAAAAAAGTTTTAAACATTCACTAAGGCCCACAGGGGAGAAACCAGGAAAACAAAAATCACCCTTCACTTTTGAACTCAGAAAGAACCACAGGTAACCATGGAGTGTTTACTATTTCCACTTTTTTTCTTTGTAGACTTTCTTTTTAAGAGATACTTTTTTAAAAAAAATTTATCTTTAGAGAGAGGGGAAAGGAGGAAGACAGGGAGAGAAACATTGATGGGTGAGAAATACATCAATCAGTTGATTCCCGCACTCCTCCAACTGGGGACCTGGCCTGCAACCCAGGAATATGCCCTGACTGGGACCTTTCGCAGGCCACTGAGGCATACTCAATCCCCTGAGCCACACCAGCCAGGGCTCTTAATAGACTTTTACTGAGTATGGGAGAATTTCATTCAGGAAGGCAGAATAATATGAAAGGCATGACATTTCAACCAATAAGATGGAGAATAGGTTATTTATAACTCTCAGGAATTGTCTGACATGGATTCAGGTTTGATGGCTAAATGTGGCCTCCTCAGGAAAATGGGTCTTTCAGAGAAAAGCACACAATATAAGAAATTTTTAAAGATCCAGGAACAAGAGAAAAACTTAAACCTTGGGTACCAACATGAGATATCTGGGCCTACACTATTCCAGACAGCTACATCTTTCCTAGGCATATGGCATTTATTTTTATTTAGACATTGACATAAAAATAACTATAAAAGTCTAGTTTAAGGAGAGCTGTTTCAGTTATAGATGCTTACCCATTGGTAAGATGACCCAAACCTTGTCTGTTTTTGCAGACCAGGTTCATGGTTGTGCAAACCAGATCACAAACTCCCTAGAAAGACCCCAATTATCTGAGTGCTCCTTACTCTGGTCATTCCTAGCTCTTTCTTATCATGTCCTGGTTATCACCACAGGGCTCAAATCAAGAAAAGGCACCACATGGAACTGCTAAAAATACATTTTTAGATTAAATTTGTGGACATATTAAAAATATTTTTAAGTATTTAAAAGGCCAGCATTGTTTGGGATGGTGTTAATAGGCATTATAAAACAGCCAGAAAAGAATCATATTTTTCTGAATGTTACTATCTTGGTTTACAAACATAACTTTAATGTATTAAATGAGATAATATATGTGAAAATGCCTAGCAAGGTACCAGCATCTGGTGAGTACTTGGTGATTTTCCTTTTTTCCTCCCTCTTATTAGAGATTGTTCAATTACCTTCACACACACACACACACACACACACACACACACACACACACACCCCTCCTTAGTGAAGAACAAGGACTTTGACAGGCCAGTTGTGTAGTCATCTTGGGCAAATTTTCTAACCTGTCCTAGCCTCAATCTTCTCATCTACAACACAAACAGTAAAAATATGTACTAGGTCAGACTATTGTGAAGATTCATGTTTGAGCCTCAGGAGCTACTCAATAAATAGCAGGAAGCTACTATAATAATAACCAGAATTCAGGGATTAAGTTTTTTCAAATATTTTCTCTCATTAAGAATGTGATTTGATTGTCTTTGGCAACTTCTTATATGTGGTCAATTAAGAAACTCAGAAATGAGGGGGAAGGTGATATATCTGTGGAAGATGATTTTTCTGCAAACAACTATATCAGCTAACTCAATGTAATAATTTAATTTTTCTGATATGCTCCAGTTGATACCTCAGCTGACTAAATATTCGTAAAGGAAGATCCCAGTGGCTGCTGTTCCAGTGAGTGTAATAAACCTGTGAATTAAAGCCAGGTGAGCCTACAGCTTGGCCTGACATCCATTGATGCCATAACATTTACCCATTTTCCCACTTTTTAATAGGGTGGAGGTGTTGAGCTTGAAACATCAAACATTTTTGCACATAGGCATATAGACTGACAGAGAATCACTCCATGACATAGTAGGCATAATTGCCATGTCCTATGTAAGAAAATTAGAACTTAGAGATACCGAGTTGACCTGTCCAAGGCTTAAAATCTGGCTAAGAGTGGAGATGGAACTTAAGCGCATGGTATATCTGTTTACATGGCTGTCTTCCATATGTATTGGAGCTGGTGGTAGGCCCTTGCAAGGGTCATTTCACTTTTTAAAAAGAAAAATTTATTGTTATTCTAGTTCACCTCACTTTTAACTAGCAACAGCCCTGTGAGGCAGATACTATTTTTCTAATCTTACAAATGCGAAATCTTAGGTCTGGAGACACGAAGTAATCTTCCTAAAGATATACAGCTAATAAACGTTACAACCAGTTTATCAGTTGCTGTTTCTCTCTCAAGAATCAGAACCTATTTGGTGGCCAGTCATTGAATATCTGGGAACTCTGACCAATACTCTTCTTTAATATGAAGGAAACAATTTAAAGGGGGCTGGATAAGAACTAGAGGCTGCTTAGTAAGGAAACTGTCGCTGTTCTCATGGTGCTGCTGAACCACACCTGTGTTGCACCGTGCCCTTGCCCCCATCTGTAAGGCCAGGTCTGCACCTGCCTTGTAGCTCCAGGGCTTCCTGCTCATTTACATGGTGAGGCCCAGGCAGAGTCGGGAGGGAAGGGTTGCAACTACTGTCCAGAACTTGTGTATTCATGAATAGCAGTGACGCAGGTGTACATGGCAACTATTCACATTAAAAACTTCACTACCTATTTACATAAACATTTTTTTAACTAAAAATATCCAAAAGAAAAAAGAAAGGGGTTCCAAACATGGTTAAGGTAGAGCAGTAGTGTTCAGGTCTCATCCTGAGTTTGATTCAGTCCGTCTGGGGTAGGGCCTGAGAGTTTCTGTTTATAACAAATTCCCAGGGTCTGTGGTTCTAGGAGCCTGGGAACCATACTCAGTGTCACTAGAATGGAGATTCACATTCACTGTATTAGGATCTGTATTTTCTCGTTTCTCTGCAGGTTCCTAGTAATAACAGTTCAGGGGTATAGCATGATACTCCTACATGAGTATAGCATGGCTTCCATGAAGAATAAAGGTACATTATATTGAAGTGACATGAGACCAGGGTAAATATTTTTACTCTAATAAATAAATGTGCTTTATGAGTGGAGATAAACAAAGTTGAGAGTGACTTAGGGTAAGTTTTCCAAATACTCTTGCAAATAAACATTATTTCAATATTCATAGCATATTAATACTCATTCAATTTCTCCTTTTCATGCTGGAAATGGAAGAAATCATTTAGCAAGAACAGGAAGCATTAGGTCCCTAAAAATAAGGGAGTACCTAAGGAGACCATTTCCATCTACCTGAGCATTTCCTAAAACCTAAACATTAGACCAAAACAACTTTTTATTTTCTACCCCTGAAATGCTTCTATCATTTAATTTTGTAACAGATTTTTAAAAATTTAAAAAGGTGAATGCGTTTGTACTTAATGCTTCTCTATAGATACCTAATTTCAATTGCTACTACATTTAGACATGTTTAAAGAGAGTAGAGGCAGAAATGCCTGATTATGTTCTCGTATTTATCACCCTTGAGGGCATAGCAAAGCCTCTTTTCCAGTTAAATACTTTCTTCTAGCCAAGAGTTAACCACTGTAAGAGGCCGTTTTCACCACTTGCTACTACAGCTCACCCTGACCTGTTAAGCTTTATTATATTTCAGGGAATTCAAATTGGTAACTGTGAAGTAATTTCATTTCCAAATTTCATTAAGGAAATTTAAGGGTTCATGGTTTCCTTACAGGGAAAAGAACAGTTGTTATGCTAAAAAGAAAACACAAGAAATTCTTGCTGGTTCAGCTGAATAAGCAGGATGAATTTAAAAGGTAAAGCTCTAACCATAAACACCTGTTAGATACTAACCTTAAATGCCAGTGTAAATAGAGAAAGAGTATCCAGAACTGTGAGGCACACCTCAGTAGCAATGTTGGCTTCAAGTAATGACTGGTGAAGAACATCTGCGTCCGAGTGGCCATAGCCTGCATGAATTATTACACAAGGTTACTGCCAGGTGGCTGCAGACAGTGAGGCAGGTTGGATGGTAGAGTCACAGTCAACTTTTGATTATTAATAGAAGGCTTACTTTTTGGGGGGAGAGGTTGATAGTTAATATTTTTCCCATTCAATTATAGTTCTTTTTCAACTCTAGAAGGGAAGTAATAGCAGCAAACATTTATTGTGTGCTTGCTATGTATCAGTCATAATTCTATGAACTTTACATGTATTACTTCATTTAATCTCTCAACAGCCCTATGAAATATGTACATTATTAAACCCTCTTTGCAGATAAGGAAATGGAGGCACAGAAAGACTAAGCAACTTGTCTTAAGTCACACAGTTAGTAAACAGTGGAGCTAGGAAGGCACCTGGATGGGAGTCACTCAATCTAGCCATTTGGCCAAGCTGTTAGGATGGTGAGGGAAGTTGAGATTTCCAAAGCTTCCCACACAGAAAGAGGCAGCAGCACAGCACAGAGGTTAAGAAGATGAGCCAAGGGTCAGGCTGCTGGTCACGGAATCCAGTTTGGCCACCTACTAGCTGTGTGACCTAGAGCAAGTCATTTGACTTCTTTTTACCTCAATTTTCTCATCTGTAGATGGGGGATAATAACAGTATCTATCTCAGAGGCTGTGGTGAGTATTAAATCATTAGTATTTGTGAAGCGCCTAAAATAGTGCATTGCACATAATGAAAGCTATGTAAGCCTTAAGTCAATAATGTAAAGAGCTGTATTATCAGCTAGAACAATGAATGATAATCAAGAGTTGACTGTATTGCTAATAATATTCTACTTGCTTTAATAAAAAGCACAACAGCCAATATATCTGAAAGAATTGTTTAAGAAAAGGAAAGAACTTGAAGTATCATAATTTAAGTACAAACTGATATCTTCTTATGTGGCTGTAAAATCAATTTAGTACTAAGAAAAATGTAGCTTGACATAAAATTTGAGGTATTAAATTATGAAATGGTATGCATTAGCAGAAATATATAGGGATGCAAAGATGTTACAGTATTGATCTAGATTACAAAGAAAGATGGCAATATAATAAAACATCATGTAATGTCTTTCTCCGAGGAGCAAAAACAAATCAACACTTACTATGTAGGCAATTTTCTTAATACTCCAGAGAGGAGGACATTTTATATATAGATCTTGAAAATGAAATACAGAAAACCTAGAGAATTTTCTTGAGGCCAGAAGTGGGGAAAAAAACAGAAACTACACTCCAAATTTCTTACTTAGGTCATTCATTCAAACCACCTATTATTAGGACTAAATAAAGTAACTATTATGATGCTGTCTATTCTGATTTTAGTAAATGTCAGTTACAGGAGGATTTTTAAAAGGCTAAAAAAAAAAAAGCTTTTTAAAGCTACTGAGTCGCTTTTCAAAATATGATAACACCGTTCTGTGTTTTCATACAATTATGCTTGGCTTTTAAAAGGTAGTTCTGAAGTTCTGTGTCTGTGGATTGTGTTATTTTTACACTGCAACAGAGTCCATGTACCCTTAGTTATGTACGTTAGGGACGCATGTAACACATCTGGCACCGTGCTAGTTCTATTTCTTTTCATTTCAGCTTTTTTGGTAAAAAAAAAAACTCTCAGAGAAAAGAAAGATGGATATTTTTGGTACTAATATTCACTGTACTGCCTTTGTAAGCCAGGGCATTTCCTCATTCAATGAGGTTTGTTTGGTAAGATACAGAGACAATGAAAGAGGAAAATAGATTTAGGGTTATAGTTACACTGACCACAAACTGGGGCAAAAAGGGGCAAAAAAATTACACCTTTTATTAGACCAACCAAAACTGTAACACAGGTGAAAGGACCCTTTACTGGGGGCTGCCATTTATACCAAATTTAAAGTTTAGAGTCTGGGTTAAACTGTAACAATGAACATGCTTTGGTGATTGTTTTAATTCTTTCTCTGCATGAAACTGTCTTTTCTCTCTTTTTTAAGGTGGAGATACAATATTCAAATGGTATGTTAATGTTTACATTTAGACTTAAATTCTACAGAAAAGTAATAATCACACTAAAGATAAATGGCACATTGTTTTATTGATGTATTCCCCAAATGCATTGATAAGTTCCAATTATTTTATAAAAGTCATCATTTTTAATTTAATTTTTTATTGAATTTATTGGTGTCCTTTCTTTCTAGATAACTTGTTGGCTAAGTGTATCTGGGTGATTATTATAGATGAGGTGGCTTATACATTGAGAGTCCCCACAGAATTTACCTGATTTCGGAAATATTGGCAAATGTGCAAAACTGTTATTCCTCTAAATTAAGGTATCATATCTGAGAATCAAGGAAATGTGGCATTACAGCATTTTTATTTACTATCTTGAGTATAGACATTTAAAGTTATAAGCCTATTTCACCTATTTTAAAATATATATTGTCCATGCTTAAACTTTTAAAAAATATTAATTTTACTTCAGAGAATACATGCATTCCCTGCATTTTCATATTAACTCAGTAATATGTACAACAAAGAAATTTAATTATCACCTATGTTAACTTCCTTATTCTCAATTCATAGATATTAAAGGATTTCAGAGTGAGATGGAGCTGTACAAGCCATCTCTTCCAACTCCTCATATGATGCTTAAGTGATCCAGATAATAGCCCCACTGGGTCCTCATCCAGTCTCCGTTTTCACACCTCTAGCTTCAAGTGCCCACACTAGCTAATGGGCATTTCAGGTAGAAAATGCTTTCCCACCTTGACCTGAAATCTAATTCTCTGCAACTTAATCCAGTGATCTTAAACTCTTATACTAAACTATATGACACCCAGGTTTTCTTTAAGCATTTCTACTTCTTGGCTGGTTTTCCCCCACTAGTAGGAAATATGAATTACCATGCAAATTAATTTAATATATTCCTAGATAATGCAAAACATCAAAATAATACAAAGTATTATTTTATATATATATATATATTTTTGCAAATGTATCACTTATTTGCAAACATGCTTCATGTTGTTTCCCTGTCATAACCTGGATTATATAAAATATTCTGCATGTAGCTATCTCTCAACTTGTCGCTTGGCACAGATCTCTTCTACTTTTACACAGTGAGTGCACTTTACAGAAAATAAGTCATTGTCTTAATGTTTTAAACATTTACTTTTCATATAACACCTGGGCAATGACCCCAAACAACAAGCATCTATCCTGAGCGTTTTTGAAATTGTTAAAACTATTGGCCATGGGAAGATTTTCCATTTTCATTATTTCCTATTAAAATCTGAGAGTACAGATAAGTTCCTGCTAGAGTAACATGTGTAGTGCATATGATGTCTTCCCATGTTCTATTAATGAGTGATGGGGATGGTATAGCTTAAGTGTCCACTGGATTGTTTCTCATAGTCCTCTGCTGCTCCCTGCTGGTCAAGGTGAGGTCTGACAAAGCCTTTCCTACTGGGACAAAAGAGAGAATAAAAAATGAAGGTGTAGAGGGAACTCTTCCTATTTTGATTCTTTTCTAAAGCAAATTCATTTTGGACTCTGGCATCCCAGAAAATACCTCACATATTGGATCTATGTCATATTGGTTGGCCCAAAAGAAGGTTTTGCATTCACAGTTAAATAGGAATTTTTTGAAGGAGACATATATGGCTATAAATTTCCCATAAAATGCCTAGGTACAGACATAAACACAGACAATCATGTGTGTACATATACAGATACATGATCACACACATACACATGTATACACATTTCTTTCTCTGTGGTTTTTGGCTGAGCTGAAAATTTGAAGCTGAAAATGCTAACAAAAAGAAGGGCTGAGGCCACCCAAATATATATGAGAATTAGAACTGTAAATGAAGACTGAGTTCTAGGGGAAGATGCAAGGACAATGAGACATCAAGATCAATTTGGAATGGGCAGGAATTGTAGAAACACTGAAGAAGGCTAAAAAAAAATCAGCTATGCACTATTTATTGGGAAAGCAGAAGGAGAAACTTTGATTGAGCATAGTGTCACTGAAAACTGACTAAAGAAAAAAAACTCCAGGATAAAGGAGGAGAAAGGCAAGAGGGATGGGTTCTCTGTGGGTAGCAGGAAGACAGAATGTAAATCAACCATGGTAACAACATGGTTTTTGGCAGCAGAACACAGCCAACTGTCTCTCTCCTGAAATTCAAGTCACCACCACAAATCCATTTGCAGTGGAAGGGGCTGCTGTATATCTTAGTGGATTAAGATCATTTATTTTATTTTTGTTTGTTTTCTGTGTTTCCTAATGATTATCTTTGGAGGTGGGGCCTTGGTCTACTTACTATTTTTTTAAGTGTTTTAAAGTTTAAGCATTCGTGCCAATTGATAGTGAGGTAGTTCCTGTGTTATAAATTATCTGGGCTAAGGCAGTGTAGCAGGTCCTGCAGTTTAAGTGGCACTTTAATTCTGTTTGTTAATTAGGGAATGAAACCTGAAAATAACAAAACTCCATGTTTGTTTGTTTCAACTCCTTGTCCGCAGAGCTAGAAAACACCCTAACAGACAAGATGTTGAAAAATCAAGTACGTTAGCCTTAGATGTGTCACTGATATACACTTTACAGCTAAGTATACGACTCAGAACTAGCATTTGCAAGTTACCAATTCAGTATGTGGCAGACAGAAATTAAGCCCAGAATTTTTATAAAGAGAGACTATAGCCATTACATTTAATGTTGCTGTGGTATAAAAATGGGAAGCTGCTGTATTTTGATTCCTCAGCTTTCTTACCCTGAACTACAGTTGACCCTTGAATAACACAAGTTGACCCTTGAATAAGACCTTTGAACTGTGTGGGTTCACTTATAGGCAGATTTTTTTCAATAAACACTGTAAATGTATTTTCTTTTACTTATCATTTTCTTAATATTGATAACATTTCCTTTCTCTAGATAATTTATTTCACAGTATATAATACATATAACATACAAAATATGCATTAATCAACTGTTTATGTTATTGGTAAAGCAACCACAGGCTATTAATAGGTAAATATGGGGGTAGTCAAAAGTTATACATGGATTTTTTTTACTGCCAGGATGGCTGGCACTCCTAGCCCCCATGTTGTTCAAGGGTCAACTGTATTAGTAATTTAATGTGATGGGAATGTTATCTTCACTCTTGGCTTACATTAAGAAAGAGTATGGAAATCAGTGAGTGGAGTTCTTATGATTTGAAATCATGAGGAAATATTAATAACCATGTATTAAAGACATTACTTAAAATGAGAACAATTATTATCTAGACAGAACAACAACTACCATGTCATGCTTGGAGAAAAGAAGAAACAATTGGAGAACACACCACTAACATAAATGGCATTTATCATAAATGATCACAGTTTTCAAAGTGCTGCATGGTTGATATTTTTTAGGTTTTCTGCTTTGAGAAACCCTTAAGAAGATAAAACACTTAAGTTTTAGGAACAGCACATGATGCCACATCCCCTCTGGTGACTGAAAAAAGTCAATTAAAAATATGCACCCACATTTTGGCAGAATCTCTACTGTGAAGTTAGAAAGCACCAAAGTTAGGAAGGCAAGATGAACAAAAGGTCTCAATTTGCAAGTGAAGCAGCCTCTTAAAGCAGACTTCAACCTGATTAAATCTTACCATTGTCTACAGAAATTCCAAGCACACTTGATATCTTTCTCACACTGAAAACACAGAAAAAGTCACTTTGTTATTGGCTTTTCCACACCCTCACAAATTGATTCATGGGCTTTATGTTTTCACAGCAGTTTAACATACATTCTAAGCGTGAATGTCAGAATATGGACTATGATCAATTACACTCATGGGATCAGGGCGAAGAAGTCTATTCCAGAGGTTCTCAGAAGTTGCAAGGGGAAAATCAGTGAGAATTTGGCTCCAGGCAATGAATCCAAATATTAAATTAAAAATATCAGAGAACATTTGGCTACTGATCGAACCTGCCAAATTTTGTTTTAAAAATACCAAGCAGAGAGGTTGGGGCAAAAGTTCTAGCACTTTTAGGTCTGGTATTGTAGTTGACCATGGTCCACATTATGTCATTCTCCTCCAAGGAAGGGAACTGCGCCATGAGCTCTTCATCCTACTTGCTTTGAGCTGGAAGAAAAGTCAAGTTGGTGAAGTGGTGTGGTGTGGTCTGGGGCTCTCCCCTTTGAGATGTCACATGAGATGGCTGGCTGTTACGATGGTATGTCATGGGACTTACTGTGGTTAAAAGTGAGAGAGTTATCCAGGCTGCCCAGCTGCTGCAATCTGGCATGCATCATTCCTGTTCTGTTATGGGAAACAGGCAATGTCTGAGACTTTCGATCATGAACTATGGGTCCCAACCCTTCCTGGTTCCTGCAACATGAGTGAAATGGGATAGAAGCAAAAGTTAGACTTGTTACACTGCAGAAAGATGGGGAGCATTAGTGAGGCGAGGACACAGCAGAAAGGAGACTGGCCATGTGAGGACCAAGCATAGGAGCCTGTCTGGGAGCCAGAGACATACAGGTAGCAGCTCTCACAGCGTTCACAGCAAATCACCAGTGGCAGCACAGGGGCAAAGACAAAGCCAAAGCAGATAACTTTTCAGGTTTAGGAAGTACTTCAGAGATGTAACTTAAAAAAGAAAAAGTTGAGCATCACTTCAAAGTAGTGCTAAAGTTACCGTTCTGACAACTGCCAAAACACCAAAAATCTTTTTGAATTATATATGTTATTAAAGAGCAAAAAAACACTTAATTAAAATAATGCATTGGAAGAAACAGAGAACAAACATGCAATGGGAAGGATTACATGAGGTGGTTTTGACTTCTTTATTCTTACCCAGACAGGAAGCAGAAGAGCCATACACTTTGTTAAACTTGTCAGCAGTCAAGTAAAGAAAATAGAAAAGTGATCTGGGTTAGCAATCAAACAGCTAACTTCCTATCATGTACCATCACCAGAGCAGAAGAAAGATGAGGCCAATGCTGGAACGACACCTGTCCCCATCCCTTAGCCAACCATCTCCTCATTGTGTTATTGTGTGGAGTAGAACAGGGCATGCATGGAATATCATGGCAACATGCTGCTGAGTGATTTCAAAGTGACACAATGAGAAGGCGCAGTATTCATAAAAATGGACCACCATGAATGGCAAACAGTGACGATGTTTAAATTATCATTCAGAATCTTTTACACATGTAGAAGAGACCATGGCAATTTTCTGTAGAGCATGGCATGACTTTCCACAGTGCACATAACAAAGAAATATTGCCTCTCCCACTTTCCTATGCTCATCTATTTTTAAAATGGTCAAAGGAGGCATAAATTTATATGCAAATATATACAAGGTGCTTATAAAGATGGGAGATTTTCATTTTAAAAATTAAGCATATAGCCATTAAAAAATGAGTTAAGTTTCACAAAACCCAATTTTAAAATATTTTGTTGGGGCAGAAAACTATAGCTTCCCACATATACCATGTTCAGCTCTGTGGTATTTTATTCTATTTTGCAAATTTCCGAATGCCATCTTGTGACAGAGGTGACCATTACTGCAAGGAGGGTGCAAATCTTGCCCAGTTCAGTGTGCTTCCGTTACACCCACACGGTCAGCCCACCTTCACAGGACAAAGTCAAAAGGGATTTATCCTATAAGGATACCTTGTGTATACTTGTATTTGATACTCAAAATCTCAAATGTAAAAATTACTGTTATGAAAACAATAAAAGAATTAAGATTAGAGAACTTTAAGTGCCATCACATTTCAATTAAAAATAGAAAATACTAATAGGAGGAAAGCATAAAATATTCTCTCTCAATTTGCTCTTTTTAAAAGAAAACATATACCTTTATTTAACATAAATATAATTCTGAAAATTTCTCAAATAGCCTAACAATATTAACATAAAAAGCAAAATCTTCACATTCAAACAGAAGGTCTATTAAACATCTCTTTCTTATTTCATTGCTGTAAAACAAAATTATAGATAAGAGAAAAAATCTCAATTACAACTAAATTTCAAAGTTTTTCTTAAAACCAATGTTTACTTATAATTACACTATCAAAAACAACAGCATTAGAAAAATATGATATTTAGACCAGGACCCCATAAATACATTATCACAGCATACACAACATGGAAAAAACAAATACACACAAACTGAATGGCTATGAGGCAGGAGGAAGAACTTGGTAAGGACATGGTATGCTCTGGGAAATACCTCTAAAGAAGTAGCTGCTTAGGTGCCCGACAGCAATGAGTTTCTAGCTCTCCTCAAACTCAAAGCAGGACCAAGGGTATGCTGTGGGACAGGGCAGTGTGGATTTATGATACTTCACAAAGAGTTCTGGTCAGATAAAAAACAAAGGGCATGGATAGCTTACTTGAAAGTGGAGGAGAAAAGGCTAAATTTTAGAGGTTTTGTGAAAGTCCAAACAAATTTGGGATGGACTGAAAACATTCTTTCATTAAGGAAGAAGAAAAATAGTTAGATGAGAAATTAGTGTCTCTGTACTTGGGAGGTGAAATGGTGAAAAATGAACTTTCAAAGTAAAACAGGGAAAGAGAAATAATTGGGAAAGGAGAAAAGAGCCAGAAGACACATCAAGAGGAACTGGGAGAAGAGAAAGAGAAGACAGAAGGCACAGAACATGAAGGAGAATTTGGAAGCAAGGGTAGAAGTGTAGCAACAGGCCACAAAGGAAGATCTTTCCAAGAGATATGCATCAGACAAAACAAGACAGAAGGACTGTAGGCAAAGGATGCTAACAGATTTTACGGCAGCAACTTAAAAGACTTGTCAACTGTCTTCATGGCTGTTTATAAGAATTCCAACGGCCAATCACCACAGATGACAATTCCCCCACATTTAGATCCAAGTAATACAGAAAATGACATAACACTTTAAACCAAAATCCCCACAGTACCTGGCTATATATCGCTTCCCCATGTACTGGAACTGGTGCAAGCAGACTCTGCAGACAGGATGAGAGGTTATTAGGGAAACAGAAGATAAAATTATTTTCAATGTATTGTTTTATTTAAACCCATGAACAATAACACATTCAATAAATTCTTACTGGCCCCTTCTGGTTTTCAGAAATTGTCTGGAAGGCCTCTCCAAACCAAGAGAAAATTACTAACCTGCAAAGGAGGGCCCATATTATGCTGCTGTCAGTACTGTGGTGGGAGGTTAGAGCCACACAGACGAAAGGCCTAGGACTCATAGGATTGTCCATCCACTCAGGGTTTAGACATTGACTCTAGGCAGTTTGCCTTGGAAACCGCAATGGAAATTGTATGCACTGCTGCACTATTCTGAGTTGCTTATTTGTTTTCAATTCAAACATATTTAAGGAGCTCTTTCTTTTGGTTTAAGTAAAAAGACTGGTCCCTTACAGATATAAGTATGTAGTTTTTGTTTGTTTGTTTTAGAGTATCCATAACATTGATTTTTTTAAAAAACAACATATATTTAATAAGAGGCAGTTAAAATAATGTCCAGTAAGTTCTGATGCTGAATCTTGCCTCCCCATGTGATAACTACCACCTTTAACTCAGCAGAGAGAACAGTCATGAGACTATGAGCCAAATGCACAAAGCTCAGAACACCACAGGTTTCCACCTTAGTTTGTGCAAATATATTTGACAGCAAATCATGACCCCACTAACAGATATAAAGCTACTTATAGTTATGATTTACCCAATGATTGTGAACAATCATAGTACTACAGAAATAATTTTTTTACTGCAGAAACAATAATGTGTTTGACCACGGGGTGTTGCCTGAGAACCTGCTGGGGTCATGGAGTTTACTTTATATATAAATTTTTCAAAAACCCAAAAAATTCTGAATTTGGAAAATCATCTGGCCCCAGCAGTTTTGGATAATGGATTGTGGATTCTAAAAGCAATGAGCTTAAAGGAAATAAGAAATTGAAACTAAAAAGATAAAATAATATTGGTAACATGTAAAATTTTACTTATTATAGCAATTTTTCTGTCTCAGTTTCTGCATCTACTTAAGTTACATTCAACTTAGAAATGCAGCATCCACCCCATTCAGCTAATACATATTCTGTTATTTTATTAAAATGGCTTGTATACATAAGTAGTTACCTCTCATAACAACCACATATCTAATAATTTAATGCTGGTCACTGACCACTAAGTCATAAGCACCTGAGAGCAGGGCTGGTCCAGTAGAAACAACTTAAGAGTAGGTATGGATGTGAATATACTACATTCTTGATTCAACTACATAGTATTCTTCATATCTCTTGACTAGCCAGGAAAAATCAAGAGGCAATTAGCAAAACAAAACTACTCACTCAGATATTGTAAAAAAATCCATAAGTTCAGATGTTGAAGCCTTGTTCCAATATGTAAACAAAGCATCTAGAAAGTAAAAATTTATCTGGTCATAATCATGATGTGTCTTCCATACATTATAAGATGAGAGATTGTAGAGTGTAGTCCTCCAAACCCTGCCCCCTTTTATAGCTAACCACAGTGACCAATCTATACTGGATAATATATATAATGGTCTTATTCAATTTGAAGATGCTACATTTGAACACCTGAATTTTAATTTCTTCATACATCATCTAGTGCTATATAATACATACTTAGCTTATACATAATGTGCTCTTAAGTGGACCAGAAACTTCAAAGAATAAAAGTGACCATACAATTTAAAGTCAGGCTCTCTCTTCACCTACTACAGAATCCCTCACTAGTGGGAAATCCGTTGAAAAGTCTTGCAGGTACATAAGTACTCCTTTCCTGACACACATGCACGTACACACACACACTCTGAAATGAAAGTATGCATACTACACACACTGTTTTGCACTTTAAGTTTTAATTCAACAATACAGCTTAGCTCTATCTTGATTTTTCTCAAGTTGCTTAATATTCCACTCCATGGATGCACTATAATTTAGTCAGTCCCTTATTGATAGACATTTACTTGTTTTCCCTCTAATCTTTTGCTATTATGAATTATGCTTTGATGAATATCCTTTTACATGGGCCTTTGCACACCTGTCCATCTACATCTATAGGATAAATTCTCAGAAGTGAAATAGCTGTGTCAAATGCTATGTCCATTTAAAATTGTCACAGATATTGCCAAATAACCTTCCAAACAAGTGGTGTATGGGAGTGCCTGTTTCCCTACATGATGAAAAACTCACACTTCTTCCTCTTCATCAAGAGGACTTGGCATACTTGTAGTTAAGGCAAATACTGCAAATTTACTTATAGGAACCATGTTCTGTGTATGACCCTTATCCATTTAGCACATTGCATCACTCTGTTATCATTTGATAAACATTTTTGCATTCATATATTATTTAATATTGAGGTTGAGAAACAAAACAGGTGAAGCAATTTCTATCAGAGAAAAAGCCATTGATTTTGGGAGTCTGAGACTGAGTGAGAAGGTGGCTGCAGCGATGCTGATGGCTTGTGAAGATGCACAGCCATGAACTTTTACTCTATACTGTCAAAAATGGTGACATACAGGGGAAGCCAAGGGATATATATCAAGAATCTGTTATGTGTGGGCACTGTGCTAAGTGGTCTCATGATGTCACATATAGCTTGTCATTGAATTTTCACCAAAATCAGAGGCAGAGAATTTCAGTCTACAGAGAAGCTAATGAAGGCTCAGAGAAGCTAAGTAATTCTCCAAGTTAACAGCCTAAAAAAATCATGGTGGAATGGGGATTTAAATGAAGTACACTTGATTTTAAAAGCCACATTTGGCTTATTAGCCCACTCACAAGGGTGGGTCAAGAAACTTTCATTTTCCAGGGATTCTGAGTTTATATTCCATGGGTACAAACTCTGGTTACTTGAAGCCAGTCATCCAGGTGTGCTGAGAACCCAGGGAACCAAATGAATGCTGGTGGGTCTCTCTGGCTCAACTTGCAGACATCTGGGGTCCCCCAAGCACATGCCAGACAGATCCAGTCAGCCAGCAGCCAGCTGAGAGGCACCAAGATGGCCTTTCCTTGCTCTGAGTTCAGGCTATTGGCTGAGAAGAGGGGAAAGACAGAGTGACCCTCTATGAAGAGGGGAGGAGGCACAGGAAGGCACAGAGAGTAAGGCCCAGTGTGTAGAAAGTGCTCATTAAATGTGGGATAAAGAAAAAAGTAGCCACAGAGTTACACAATCAAGTCTGGCATCTGTCTGGTCCACTAGTCTGAAGCCAACTTTTCCACTGCATTCCATGCACAAAAATCCATTCTAGGTAAGTATTAAGGTTTAAATGTGAAAATTTAAATATTATAACCTTTAAAGAAAATACAGGAAAATATCTTCATGATCCTGGGGATAGGTAAAGAGTTCTTAAACATAACACACAAAAAGTTCTAATTATTAAGGGAAGAAATTAATAAGTTCAGATAACTTTTTAAAAATTATAAAACTCTTAGATAGGTTATTGCAGTCTTAAAATATGTGCATGACTTTCTGAAAGGCTGACTTTAAAGGATGACTTTCACCTGGATGTAAAATTTCATTATTTGTCTTTAAAAGGAGTTGTGTTCTAGTTATAGATCATATTTATTATTTGAAACTTAAAATATTAAAAACACTTTCAACAAAGGAAACAGGATCATAATGCTGGCTATAAGTCCCTACTATAATGTAAAGTTTAGAACTTTTGACTTAATGGAAAGAATTTCAACTTTATAAACCAAATATCAGAAAAAGTGTCCAGTGCTTTTGCATTTGGTCATCATCATTCGAAGAAATCCTGTTTGTTGGTTCTTTTCTGTAAACAGATATTTTAAAGTAACAAAGGAATAAAATAACCTGGTCCTAAAGCACTTTAAGGACAGGTATGCTGTTCCTAACTTCTGAGTCATAAGGTTGGGCTGTTTTACTGCTAAAATGGAAGCTCAATATAAAAGAAACACTACTTGCAGGCAAGAAGTACCCTCCATGGGGTGTTCAATGACCACACCCTACTGCCTTCAGAAACAGGCAGCACAAGTGTGCTCAAAAAATGACATTTTGTTTTCAAAAGTGAGAGTGAGTTCATTTTCACTCAATTGACCTTAATGAAGCTCACCGTACACTTTCTGATTTGTCACATGGAAAATAAGACAAGATTTTTGACCAAAATAAGAAATGTGACATTGTACCATAGCACAATGTCACATGATTGGTTATATCACAAAACCAGAGTTCAAAGTGTCCTGTCATGGATATTTACAAGCTTTATGTGGTACCAATAAAGCACTAATGGTTGGGGTTATTTCCATTACAAAATGTGGTTGTCAAACCCTTAATCAGAAATAATCTACTATGATATTGCTATTTCCATTAGAAAATAAAGATAATACACTTTGCTTTCAGTTAAGCCAGGGATGTCACACACTCTAAATGGAAGAGATACTGAAGTTCTCCAACACTGTATTTTCTAATTCAAGAGACAGACTAATAAAGTTATGCAAGTTACCAGTAAGTTTGTTTAGACAAATGAAACTTAAAACAAAATCAAAAGCTACTTTATTTACCTGTGGCTGTGTCCTTTAGTTAAGATGGTAGGTCTGAGTTTAATATAAATTTATAAAATAGGCCCATTCACATTTTAGAACTCATTTTCTAGATTATAATAATTAATAAAAAATACTTTTCCAAGTTAAAACATTTATTTCTACTTCATTTAGAAAATTAACATGTTTTTAAAACAATGAAGAAAAGTCCCTTTAAGTCCTTATAGCTTTTCAACCAATTGCAATTTTAAAGAAATAAACCAAATATTGAACCGAGGAAAGTAAAGCAGATATTTTCACCTTTACCTACCATCAGACATGCTTTTTAAGATGTAGAGGAAACACATCAGCAGGCTCTTAATCTCAGACTGGTCAAGTTTATCACAGCGAACCACAGAATTTCCCAAAGTGCCACTTTGTTGGTGCTAAAAAAGGAAATAGAGGTGGATTTTTCTTCTTCAATAAGAGGTAAAATTAGTTTCACTTTTCTCCCTTGGAAGAAAAACATTCTTAGAATTGAGTCTAATTATTCAAATTGGAAACTGTAAATAATTTGTAGGCACACCTTCACCAAATATACACAAGCTGTTCCACAGAAGCTCTGGCTTGTCTCCCGTGCATACTTTCCTCAGGGACAAGCCAGAAAGCACAAACCTTTCACAAACTGGATGACCATTGATTTAGTTACCAGCTTAGTTCTCAAATATCAAGTAATACCTCATGCAGAAAAGTATGTGTGCTGAGATCGAACACAGAAATGATGATTCAGAAGACACAGCAGAGCCAACCACATTCTCGGGAAAACGTCAGTGGCTGAAACAGCAAATGAAGTCTATGGTGCTTCTGAGTACCAGTCACAAAAGCCTGGAGCTGAGTCACTGTCATTTAGTTACATCCTGGGGCACTGCTGGGAGAACCAATGGGCAGGTGCCCTCTACTGACAACTAGGGATACCTCAGCACAGAACTGCCAAAGACCGGAAACTGATGAGGTCATTCCATCATCAGCTTAGCTCAACACTGCAAACGTCAGAAACCTCAGGGTGCAGGGTGAGGGCAGTTTTGCCACTACGCAGCAGGTTCACATATTCAAAGGATTCACTTAAAAAAATAGAACAAGAATCTCATGTCAGGATAAACACAAGAGATTTAAAAATCCTCAAAGTTGTATTTCCAATTGAGATCAGGAAATTTTTTTGCCAAAGAATTTTGCCAAATTTTTTGACCAAAGAAGATCAGGGAAAAATTATCTTTCCTTCAAGGTATAAGAGGGCAATTGAAAAAATAAATATAATAAACAAGTTTAATTAGTAACATCTGTGAATATTTGTATTTAAGGAAGAAATACAGGAGCCATTAGTGGCAAAACTGTGGTGCAGATGGCATCACCGGGCCCACCCACTTCATCAGAGCCACTAGGAGAACTCAGCACTTCCTGCAGCGGGAGGGAAGGTGCAGCATGCAATGTTTCCTCTGGCAAAGGTGGAATTGTTAGAAGGGAAAAATCCACAGTGACCCGGTTTTTCCTGACTGACTGGCAGCTCTCCTCCTCGCCAGCACTGCGTATGACACAAGCCGAGTGCCTTCTGAGCAGCTTCTCCCTCTACACACGAAAGCATGTCAAGGGTCAAGGGAAAAGTTCAACATGTCATGACACACACCACACCGCGATACACGCACCTCTACAGAACTGCAGTTAAAGATAATCATTTCAATGCCAGCCATGGAAATGCGTGATAAGATGACAGATCTGGTAACGAGGAAGGACGTTTCTCATATTTCTGAGAACTAGGAATATATCATTAAATGGTTCACCTGTTTATTCCTATACGTGCTTGCCTATATCTTGAAATAAATTAGGACAGCAGTGGTCAAGGTGAGACCAGGTCATGGTTCCCCGTTTAAATCCAAGCCTCATCCATTCCCACAAAGTTTCAAATAGTCTGAACCTTAGTTCAAGACAGAAGGTTAAATATGAAGATTTGTTGGACTGGGGTTGGGGGTGCAGTGTGAACAGAATGATTTCAAATAAAGCTTTATCACTGAGTCACCTGTATGTTCAATTAATCTTTTCTGGAGCTGGCTTTGGATCCAGCTCCATCCAATGCCCATTTGTATGGATAGCTAGCTGTGTTATAAATGCTGTTCTCCAGCATAGAAACTGCAGGGATTTTAAATGAGTGGCATTTTTATTTTCTTAGCTGTCCAATCTGCCAGAATCAATAGCTCAAACTGTAAACACTGCCCTGATCTGGAATTCTGGAAACAAGAATTAGGGGTTTTAAGGAATGGGCCCCATCTTTAGTTAATACTGTGATCATCTACCCCGGGTTAACTGAGTGTTTTTAAAATTTTTTAATTTTTTATTTTTAAAGATCACGCAATGAACAATAGAACATGAAGTATGTTTACTGTGGGATAAATCTATCTGTTAAAAGAAACACAAGTTATATGAAAAAAAAAATTACCTTGTCCAGGGAATTGCTTTTCTCACTATTCCTTTCTGGAAGGCTGTTTCCCGAATCTGTGCTTATGAGGGAGCCTCTTGAATCAGTATTTCTCACACTGTTGATGTTTGGAGTTGATGTCGTATACGGAGAAGCTAAATGGAAATTAAGCCATGAACAAAGATTAGGTGAGAGAACAAAATAAAGACAAGCATTGAACTTAAAAAAAAATTAGTTTCATGGCACTTATTTTTTCTGTTAGGAATTTGGTTCAAGAATTGCATTCAATCACCTATAGGGTAGATAAAAATAAAATTTAATCAAAAACATTCAGACGTAGCTACCAATTCACTTAAAAGAAACCACTTTGCGAGAGGAGAGAAGATGGTGGAGGAGTGAATGGGAGTCACGCTGACCTCCTCCCAAGACCAAACTGGAATTGCAACTAAATAGTGGAGTAATCACCTGGAAAGCAGTGGAGCGATAGTGGGAGAGGAGCCTTGGTGCCGCAGACAGTGGATTCTACTCTCACACATCCCAACGGGTGAGAAGTGCGGTGGAGGCTCGAGAGGGTGGGCTGGGTGCCCACCGGCACTGGCACCAGAGGGACATTGAAACGGCCAGTTAGCGTCCCCCGAGAAGAACGGGGTCTGAATCATAAACAGGACCCACTAAACTACAGCAGCTAAAACCAAGAAAATACAGACAAAACGCAACCCCGAAAAGCTTAGGGGCGCTCTCTGCCAGAGACAGGTGGCTTGGGGATGCAAAAAGACATTTAAAGGGCCAATGCAAAAGTTGCAGTGGCAGCCACCCTCCTTGATCTCTGGGTAGAGGTGGCAGCAGGGTGGGCTGGTGCCTGGGAAAAGATTGGTGAGGAAAACTTTGTGAAGAGAACTGACAGGGTGCCCGGTGGAGCCCCGGTCATGGTGCGCGTCCCACTCTGCAGCTACCATCTCGCTCAGGAATAAGGGAATTAATTAACCTGCCTTTTGTGCGCTCCGCACACAGCTTGTACGCATGTAAGCTGTGGGGCTGAGTGCAGACTGGCTGGGAGAGCCTTGAGGAGAGACTGGAGACGGAGGCGCTGGGGAAAGAACGGGAGGAGGAACCGGGGAGTCCCGACTCCCTCCCCGTTCTGTAGTCTCCATTGTGGGCTGGAAAGGCGCAACCCCAAAGAGGCAGTAGCGGGGCGCGCATGAACCAGACTGCCTGCGATTGAAACACAGGCCTTGGCCGAAGAGGTCACAGAACTGCCCAGAGACCCCTCAGGAGAGACTAGAAACGGAAGCGTTGGGGAAAGAACAGGAGGAGGAACTGGGGAGTCCCGACTCCTTCTCCTTGCCCTAGTCTCCATTGCGCGGGAAGAGGCCACACCCCCAAAGAGCCAAAAGCTGAAAAGCAAACATAGACACCACAAAAGCACCCAGTGCAGGCGCGCACACGTGCGCCGAGTGACCAGTGAGGGCTGGCGAGCATGTGTGTGACCAGCGTGGGCTGGCGAACACTTGCACCGGCCGGCCGGCAAGGCCTCCCACAGATTGGCACCGATACTGCCTGTGAGGGAGTTCACAGAATGGCAAGGGCAGGTGTAAATTGACCCGCCCGCCCACGATTGCTGATCGGCCCACAAAATTAGTATAGCTGCCCAGAGTCCCTGTAGGAGACACCAGAGACAGTATTAACCGGAGAGTCCTGGAGCTGACTTCCTCCCATTTCCATTGCCCCATTTGGCGAGGGCAAGCAATGCACCCAAAGAGCCAAAAGCGGAAAAAATACACAATAGAAGACCCTAAACTGACCAGTGCGGCGGAGCTCGCCGGCCAGGGAGGCCAGATAAGTATGCGAGGTCGCGAATAAGCCCCCTGGTCTGGGGCAAGCACATGCCTGCCCAGGCAGGCAGGGGATCGTGCTCCGCTGGGAGAGCGCTCAAGGAGCCCGCGTGAGAGTGCAGAGAGACCCCAAAAAATAGCCCAGCCCTGATCGAAAGGGTCACAGAGCTGCTCCAAGCAGGAGTCAGACACAGGCATTAGACTCCTGGAAGGCTCAAACAAACAACCCAAGGTCCTATAGGGTCAACAACTGACATCATCAGAGGCAGGCCCAGAAAGAAAAGGACAAAAATACTTAACAGACTCTCACAAAAATGGGAAGAAAAAGAAGTTCCCCCCAAATGAGTGGAAAAGGGGACTCCCCACAGAGAGAGCTCAATGAAATAGAAGCAAGGGAACTATCAGATACTTAATTCAAAACAATGGTTCTAAGGAAGCTCAATGAGCTCAGCCAGCTCAAAGACAATTATGAGAAACTGCAGAGAAACTATCAGGATCTTACAGCAAACTATATCAGCCTGGAAAAGGACATAGAAACTATCAAGAAGACACAAGAGGATATGAAGAATGCCATTTCTGAACTGAAGAACACAGTAGAAGGAATCCAAAGCAGGCTGGATGAAGCCAAGGATCGAATCAGTGAGATGGAGGACAAGGTAGAAAAAAGCTCCCAGAAAGAACAAGAAATGGAAAAACGGCTCAAAAAGAATGAAGAGGCATTTAGGGAAATGCAGGACGACCTGAAACGTAATAATAGGGATACCAGAAGGAGAAGAAGAGGAGCAAGGGATAGAGAACCTCCTCGAAAAAGTAATGATGGAAAATTTCCCTCATTGGAGGAGAGAAAGGGTCTCATGGATCCAGGAGGCACAGAGGACCCCACTCAAGAGGGACTCAAAGAGGTCCACTCCAAGACACATCATCAATAAAATGGCAAATGTCAAAGACAAAAAGAGAATCCTCAGGGCAGCAAGGGAGAAGGAGAAAGTGACATACAAGGGGGCCCCGATACGCCTAGGAGCTGACTTCTCAACAGAAACACTACAAGCCAGAAGGGAATGGCAACAAATATTCCAAACCATGAAAAGCCAGGGCCTACAGCCAAGGCTGCTCTACCCAGCTAGGCTCTCCTTAAAATAGAAGGGGAAATACAGAGTTTCCCAGACAAGAGAAGACTAAAAGAATACATCTCTACCAAACCAGCACTCCAAGATATGCTAAGGGGACTGGTTTAAGCAGATGAAGGAAAAGAATGAGACAGAGAGGAACACAGGCACAAAGAGAAAAGATGAGTACATTTCTTTCAGTAATATCTCTCAATGTGAATGGACTAAATGCCCCAATCAAAAAACACAGGGTAGCTGAATGGATAAGAAAACATGACCCACACATATGCTGCCTACAAGAGACCCACTTTAAAGCAAGAGACCTACACAGATTGAAAGTAAAGGGATGGAAAAAAATATTCCAAGAAAATGGGCATGAGAAAAAGGCCAGGGTTGCTATACTTGTATCAGACAAAGTAGATTTCAAAACTAAGGCCATAAAGAGAGACCCAGAGGGGCACTTTATAATACTTAAAGGAAAAATCTATCAAGAAGACATAAACATTGTAAACTCATATACTCCCAATATAGGAGCCCCCAAGTTTATAAGGAAATTGTTGGATGACTTCAAAAAAGATATAGACAGCAACACACTGATAGTAGGGGATTTCAACACCCCACTGTCAAAAATGGACAGATCTTCCAAACAAAACATTAATAAACCTATTGTGGCGCTGAATGACACACGGAATCAAAGAGACTTCACTGACATATATAGAACCTTACATCCCAAAGAAGAAAAATACACATTCTTTTCAAATGCTCATGGCAGTTTTTCAAAGATAGACCACATGATAGGACACAAAGCAAACCTCAGCAAATTCAGGAAAATTGAAATAATACCAAACTTTTTCTCAGACCACAAGGGCTTGAAACTCGAAATCAACCTCAAAGAGAAACTTCAAAAACTTGCAAACTCATGGAGACTGAACAGTAGACTATTAAACAATGAATGGGTCAATAAGGAGATAAGAGAAGAAATCAAAAAGTTTCTGGAAACAAATGAAAATGAACAGACAACAGTCCAAAACCTATGGGACACAGCAAAGGCAGTCCTGAGAGGAAGTTCATAGCAATACAGGCTTACCTAAAAAAGATAGAAACATTTCAAATAAAAGACCTAACACTACAACTTCAAGAACTGGAGAAACAACAGCAAATAAATCCCAGAGCAAGTAGAAGGAAGGAAATAGTCAAGATTAGAGCAGAACTTCATGGCATAGAGACAAAAAGAACAATTCAGAGGATCCACCAATCCAGAAGCTGGTTCTTTGAAAAGATAAATAAAGTTGACAAGCCTTTAAGCAGACTCATCAGGAAAAAAAGGAAGAGGACCCAAATTAATAATATCAGAAATGAAAGAGGAGAAATAACAACTGATACCACAGAAATACTAAGGATTGTCAGAAACTACTATCAACAATTATATGCCAAGAAATTTGAAAATCTTGATGAAATGGACAAATTTTTAGAAAAGTATAATCTTCCAACACTGAAGGAGGAAGAAACAGAAAGCTTGAACAGACTGATAACAGCTGGGGAAATTGAAGCAGTAATCAAGAAACTCCCGGCACACAAAAGCCCAGGGCCGGATGGTTTCCCAGGAGAATTTTACAAAATATTTAAGGAAGAGCTAACCCCTGTCCTTCTCAGACTATTCCAAAAAATCGAAGAGAAGGGAAGACTCCCAGACTCTTTTAAGAGGAAAGCATCACCCTGATCCCAAAACCAGATAAAGACCCTACAAAGAAAGAAAACTACACGCCAATTTCGCTGATGAACATAGATGCTAAAATCCTCAACAAAATATTGGCAAATCGCACCCAGCAATACATTAAAAAGATTATCCAGCAGGATCAAGTGGGATTCATCCCAGGGATGCAGGGATGGTTCAATATGCAAATCAGTAAACGTGATACATCATATAAATAAAAGAAAAGACAAAAACCACATGATCATCTCAATAGATGCAGAAAAAGCATTTGATAAGGTACAGTACCCATTTATGATCAAAACGCTCAGCAAAATGGGAATAAATGGGGCATTTTCAAAGTAATTAAGGCTATAAATGAAAAACCTACAGCCAATATCATACTCAATGGGCAAAAACTGAAAGCTTTCCCACTGAGATCGGGAACACGACAAGGATGTACGCTCTCACCGCTTCTTTTCAACAGCGTATTGGAAGTCCTAGCCGCAGCGGTCAGACAAGAGAAA